GGGGGGAGGGGTGTGTGGTGCCCTCTCCTCACTGGGGGGAGGGGTGTGTGGTGCCCTCTCCTCACTGGAGGGGGGAGGGGTGTGTGGTGCCCGCTCTGCACTGGGGGGGAGGGGTATGCGCTGCCTCTTTGGGGCTTTGAAACATTCACTGTGTGACCAGCTCTGCTTGTGGGGAGCAGACAGCGGTCCTACCCAGGAGCTTTCTCAGGGGATACAGAGCAAAGATGCAGATCAGAGAAGAACTGATCCCACAGAGGAGTGCTGGCGAGGGCACCGGGCCTGAGTGTCAGGGAGGGCTTGAAGGAAGAGCTGGTGTTTGAGCTGAGGCAGAGGGAGAGAGACAGTCTCTGGCCATGACTCAAGGCGGCCCAACATGGCCAGGACCGAGTGCCCAACCAGAGCACGGCTACAGGGCTGTAACACGGGCAGCAAGAGCCGGAGCCCCGAGCGGTCAGGGGGCTGCAAGCATCTTCCAGACAGGCCACAGTCTTGTTCCCGGGACCCTCAGACCAGCCTGGAAATCGGCCAGGCACCTATTCTGAGCTCACCCTGCTGCCCTGGCTCCAGGCCAGGGACTTGGTGCCTGCTGTAATATGAGGCATTATGGAACCAAGAAACCCACATGGACCTAAGGGGAACTTTTCAATGTAGAAATCTGTTTCTGTAAAAATAAATAAATAAATAAGGGGAAGGCGGCTGGGAAGGTAGAGCGCTTGCTTCACATGCATGAAGTCCTGGGTTCAATGCCTCAGCACCACATAAACAGAAAAAGCCGCAAGTGGCGCTGTGGCTCAAGTGGTAGAGCGCTAGCCTTGAGCTGAAGAGCTGAGGGACAGCACCCAGGCCCAGAGTTCAGGCCCCATACCAACAAAAACAAACAAAATAAAGAGCCTCGACCACAAGAAACACACATGGCTATCCACAACTGCTCCCAGTGAAGCACTCACAGATCCTCAGGCAAGTAACAGACCTGTCACTCACTGGCTGGGCAGCTAGGTCATCAGCAGGGCACCCACACGAGTAGAAGGGCAGGTGCCGGGGCAGGACACCATCGGGAATGGAGGGGCAGACGCCGGGGCAGTGCTCTGAGCTCACCTGTCAGTGTGAGTCCACACAAGCTCACCTGTTGGTGTGAGTGCAGATGAGCACCTTGGTGTGGGGCTGCCGGATGACCTCCAGGGCCGCCATGGCCAGAGTGTAGGTCTTGCCAGTGCCAAAGGGGCCGTAGATGAGCAGTGGTGGGGTGGGCTTCAGGCTCTCGGGGCAGCTGCCTGCAATGAGCCCCATGGCTAGCTTCTGCTTGCGGTTGCCGGGCAATGCAGGCGGAATAGGGCAGGGGTGCGGCAGGACACAAGCCGGCAGGTCAGGCACCACCAGCCGCTCCTCGGGCAGGGCATCCACTGCCTGGTGCCAGAGCCGGAAGGTCAGAGGGTCGATCTGGAACTGCACCTCCAGGGTGGGGCTGGTCTCCGGCCGCAGGCCCAGGGCCACGCAGCAGCGGGGGGGCAGAAGCAGCCACAGCGCCTGCTCCGAGCTGGCCCGGGTTTCTAGCCGCACCTCAAAAACCGTGTTGTTGGGTGCAGGCACAGGAGCCACAAGAGCTGTGCTGACCGCCCGGGCCAGCAGGAAGCCCTGGTCTGAGTCTGGCACCAGTGAGGAGGGGATGGGGACTTCAGCGTAAAGAGCCCCAGGCGGAGCGAAGAGCATGCCCACGGCCGGCGTCTGCAGCGCAGTCTTGAGGGACACTTGGCCTCTCAACGTCAACCTGGTGGGAAGATCTGTGTTCATTCTCCAGGCCACCAGCTCAGGCCTGGCTCCAAATCCACACGGGCCCCCTGCCCCCACCCCCGCTGCCAGACTCACTTGGCCACCAGCTGCTGCTGGGCGGCCTCCTCCTTGTGAAGGAAGTGGTGCATCATCTGCCGGTAATTGGTGCATGTGATGGGACTCAAGGCCAGATCCTGGAGGCTGGACTCCAGGGCCAGGGCAGGTGCCTTGTACTTGGCCATCAGGGCTACTTGCTCGTCCGTCCGCTCCACACTCCGCACGATGCAACGGTTGCCTGTGTGCCAGCGTTCTACCTCCTCAGGACGGCCAGGCTCTGGCCTTGCACGGAGCCCTCGACTGGGGGTCTGGCCCAGCTGCAGCCCCAGCTTCCGAAGCAGCACGGGCCGGCGGCCAAAGTCGAAGGCTACCCACTGCTCGAAGGAGCCGAAGGAGGAGGCCTGCACGCACACCCCCACCTGGAATTCTGCCGGGGAGCTGGGCACACGAAAACGTTCGCCCAGTGCATAGAGCTGGCCTGGAAGGAGATGGGGGGCAACCAGGGAAAACTCTGCCCCAGGCTCCTGCTTGAGTAAAGCCACATGCAACAGAGGGTCCTGCAGGAGAAGAAGGTGTGAGGCGGCTCCCAGACACTGGCTCTCCCTACAGAGGGCCCAGGACCACGCCCAACCCTTCCCACCCTGGAAGAGAGGCAGCCTAAGCTGCTTCCTGGGTAGGGGACCCACAGGTGGTTCAACTTCTCTGGGCCCTAGTTTCTTGCTCTGAAGGTGGCAGGCGGCCCTGGGCCCCAGCCTTGCTCACTCGCTAGGTGCCAGGCACTGGGCGGTCTTTTCCACTCCATGGAGTGACCACACGGGTGCCAGCATAACGGTAACCCTGACCACAGGTGAGAACGCTGTGGGTCACACAGACCGACGCAGCGATCGCATCAGCTCCAGACGCTGGGTTCTGCATGTTTACCCAGCTAGGAGCTTGGGCTGCTCACAAAGCTCAAGACCTCAGGACTTCTTAAACCCTCACCGCAGAGTGGATGGCAAATGTCCATCTGTGCTGGGCCTTCTTCTCCTGGGCCTGATGTACCAGGGGCTGGTTACAGGTGATGGACACTCCAGGGATGCTCTCCGACAGCTACACAAAGAAACCTGACCCTCAGCAGCAAGGCCGTGGCCCACACCCCACCTCTTGCCTGGCCCCCACTTACCACCAGGACCTCACTGCTGCTGTGCTGGTACTCGGCGAGTAGCCGGGCCCGGTAGGGAACTAGCCCGTCCTGCCAGGCCGCCTGTTCTCGAAGCTCCGTGGTCTGTGCCCGCTGGATCCACTCCTGCAGCTCCTGTGCTGAGTGTGCTTTGACACAGATGTCACCATACTCACAGAGGTCAGGCCTGGGGCGGGGAGGTTAGCAGGGCCACGCTGGGGTGCAGCCATGGAGGCTAGGGGGGGGACAGAGACTGGGCTCCTGGACTGTGTGGGAACAGCAGCAAGTTCTAGGCCAGGGGTAGGACCGGATTCGTGGTCTTCTCCCACCTCCCCAGGATAAGGCCCAGCCCGGGTATTGCCCCACAAGTTTTCCTCACCCCCGGCCTCCGAGGCCACGGTAGTGTCAGCTAATAGGGGAAGAGCAGGTGGCAGGGAGGCCCCAGACCTGGTGAACTTCCAGGTCCTAGTGCGGGTGTCGGGATACCCCTCCCTCCCCCTGGAATCCTTACCTCGGACACAGCTCAAACTTGGAGAGCCCAATGGGTGGGGCGCGGTGCTCCCAGGGCAGGGCCTGGTCTAAGGAGACCATCTGCGCGTGCTCCAAGGAGGAGCAATGGTTCTCAAAAGCCTCCTGCGAGCGGCAGGTGACCAGGCAGGCACGGCAGTAGAGCTGGAGCGTGGCAGGTTGGTTGTGGGTGGCCGTGGGCTTGTCCTCCCCGGGGGTGGAGGGCCTGAGCAGGTCGCCCCGCAGGAGCCCGCCGAGCCGTTCAGCTTCCCACACCGCCATCTCCACCGCGCTGTGCGCATACTGGCAGCGAGCTGCTCCGTGGCGGCAGGGCCACCCTCGGCCCACAAACATGCAGTAGTCGAGGGGCCGGCGGTTCCGAGGCCGTGGCCGCACTTCCAGGAACTGCCGCTTGCGGCCCTCCTCATTCACATGGATGAGGAGGCTGGGGCAGGTTCCGTGCTCGGGACACCGCCCCAGGGAGTCCACGGGGCACAGGGCGGGCGGGCAGCGCCTGAAGCAGTAGGCACAGAGCAGCTGGAAGCGACCGCCAAACTCCGCCCGGATGATGTCGGCAGGCCCACCCTGGGCCCGGGAGCCCTGCACGGCGGCCTTCAGCCACAGGCGGGGGAGGCTGTGCCGGCACTCAAAGGTCCAGACCAGTGCTTCCTCGGGGCTGCGGGCAAAGGTGCACTGGTTCCAGTGGCGCCGGCAGCCCCGCCCAGGGCTGTAGTAGCGGCAGACCTGGTAATGCAGGGGCCGGGGGAAGCGGGGCCGGCGGCCCACGTGGCGCCAGATCTTACTCTTGGCCGCTCCCTTGCAGCGGGCCAGCAGCACCTCAGCGGGACACTGGTGCTCCACCGTGCGCAGGACATAGGTGCTCTCGTTGAGGCGCTGGGTGCAGTGGGAGCAGCCCAGGCAGAGGTCCACCTGAGCATAAAGCCCAGCCAAGGATGGCCCCTGGGTGGCCGGAGGGTTGGCAGAATACAGGTTGCACCCTGGGGATGCCATCTCCAATGTCGGCCAGGCGCTGCACAGAGATGCGTCATCCGTCTCCCGGCAGCTAGGTGACAGATGCATTAGTCTCCTGGGCACCTGGTCTCCAGGGCCATGGAGCGACAATGGGACAGGACCAGCACCCAGCTCCCCGAGGGACCCACATATCCTTCACCAGGCAGATGACAGAGAATTTTGCCCAATTTGGCCTGTTGAGGACACAGGTCCCCCTGACCTGAGCCAGGCAAAGTCTGTCCCTTCTGCAAGGTCTCTAAGCCCTGCCCAGAAGGAGCCATTTTCCAGCTAATGGGAAAGAGGACCCTTGAAGACCACAGAAGCCCCAGCTGGTGCCTCTGGGGCCGGTGCGGTCTGGCCCATGCATGTACTAGTTTCCCAGTCATTCTATAGACTGAGCACCGCCCCCCCACTGCCCTCCTCCCCCCCCCCCCCCCCCCGCTGCCTCCATGCAGTCCACCTGGACGAGGCAGTCAGAGACTGGCAGAAGTCTGGCCTACCAAGGTGGGACAGTTGACACCGGTGCTCCCCCAGGGATACCAGGGTATCCCTGGTTTTGGCGGGCATCACCCCAGCTGGGATGGAAGAGGAACAGCTCCCTCCAAACACAGGGGCTGGGGCTAAAAGGGATTGTCTTTTGCTCCACCAATGGGATGGAGCCCGGGACCTCAGCGAGGCCGGTGTTGGCCACTGAGACACACCCCGCACTCTGCAATCAACTCTCTCTCTTTTTTTGGGGGGGGGAGTCTGGATGCTGTCCCTCTTCTCTTCAGCTCAAGGCCAGCGCCACTTCCGGCTTTTTTCTTTTTGCTTATGTGGTGCTGAGGAATCAAACCCAGGGCCTCATGCATGCAAGGCAAACGCTCTACCACGGAGCCACCTTCCCAGCCCCGTCTGCAGGCAACTCTCAAGGGGAAGCTGGGGAACACAGACGTCGTTTTAAAGAGAAGCATGGGGCAGCAGTGAAGTCTGAGAGCCTACCTGCACTCCAGACCTCTGGAGACCTCTGGATCCACAGATCTGGGACCTCATAGCCAGGCAGTCAGAAAGGCAGGAGAAGAGGGCTGTGCTGCTGTCCAGGAAACCCTCAGTCCCATCTGTGAAAGAGGAAGGGCCCCACTTCCCGGGACGTCCCCCCTTTCCCCAGCCACCCCAACTCACCCTGTGCTCAGGACAGGGCAGTACCAGCTCTGAGCCTCGTTCACTTTCGATTCTGCCCCTGGGGCGACTCAGACTTCTGACGCCCAATCACGGAAATTACCTCACTGCCCCCTGCCCCGCCCCCGCCCCGCCTTCAAGTGATAGCCCCCCCTCCCCAGCCTGGCCAGCTCCTACCACCCTGCAGGGCAAAGACTGCCCCTGGGGTCAGCCCCGCAGGACTCTAACTGGCCCTTCCCCCACCCCCAGCTACACACAAACACGCAGACCTCAGGTGCGGGGGAGGGGAGGGTGGGACCAGTGACTCCCGGAGGCGTGGGAGAGCCCTGCCGAGCCCTAGAAAGCTTGCTGTGCTGTGGGCTGCAGTCCAGCGTGCGGTGCCCGGGGGAGGCCAGTCACGGAGTGTGTTGGGGAGGCTCTCCTCGTAGAGGCTCCAGTGATATCCTCCAATCCCTTAAGACGCAGACAGATTTTGGTACTGTGCCAGAACCCAGAGCACGAAAACTTCCCACCCCAGACCACACAGCAGGAAGAGCTGGGGGATTGTGCAATGTCACTTGAACTGCCTGCCTTCCTGACCTCGCTGGGGAAATGCCATCAGACCCGAGGCTCTGCTGGCACACGAAAGGCTGGGCACCTACCCAGGCTGGCTTCCCTGGCTCACCGGACACTGTAGCCCTAAGGACTGATACTAGCCTTACCCAGTGCCAGGGCTGGCCTGAAGGACGGGTAAGCATGTGGCAGAAAAAACCAGGTGTCAGAAAAGACTCAGCCTCCTCCCGGCTCTCTTGGCCACTTGCTGTGGGGGGACAGGGGGAGTGAGAGATGGGCTGTATTTCAGGACCATGCCACATTGGAGGAACTGAACCATCTTCCCCTCCACCCTGCACACAGCAGCCTGACCACAGCATAGGAGACTTGCCAGTCCAGAACCCCAACTGATTTTACTCCCAACTGCAAAATCATAAATGTTATAACTAATGCACCGTTACAGTCCCTCGACCAGTGACACACAGCCTTCTTCACAGCTGGCTTCCTGCCGTGGCAAATAAAGTCAAAAGAGCCCCACATGAGTCAACATGCCAGTTGGACATACACCCAGAGCACCTAAAGAGGGAAGAGAGCTGAGGAAAGGCCCTGTGAACAGGAGCAACAAGAGCACAGGGACTGAAGCAGGGTGCGGAGTCTCTTGACCAGTCCATGGTGGCCATGTGGTAGATTGATAGGGGACTGGGTTTCACTGGCTCCATCTTGTCTTCATGGTGGAGGCAGGGAAGTCCCACTTCCCAGGTGATGGACATGCCTGAATTCCTGGAGGCAGGGTGGGGCCTTGGACACGAGGTTAAATACCTGCCAGTCTCCAGCTCTCTGTGACCCTGCCCTGCCTGACCCTTTAGGCCCAGACCAGCTCAGGCACCTGGGGGACCTGCCACATGGTGGCCTGCCTACTGGCTCCTGGCTCTCCCCAGCACTGTCCCACTGCAGCTCTCCACCAGAGCTGATCTGGCTTGTTGGTACTGTTCCCTCTGGTTTTCATGGCTCAGTTTTCTGACAGTGTTAAGTGTACTTGCAAGGCTGCAGATCTTTGCCACAGGAGTCCATCGCCAGATGCTGGCCTTCTAATAAAGACTCCCTATTTGACCTCTCAAAATGTGGCTTCTCCGTTTTCTCACCATACAACTGGACAAGCTTAACCAGAACATGCAAGAAAACTCTGAAATATTCCTGAGAGACATAAGAGGTGACCCACTCCTATAATCCTAGTTACTCAGGAAGCTGAGATCAGAGGATCTTCGTTTGAAACTAGCCTGAGCAGGAAAGTCCATGAGACCTTTTTTTTTCGGTTGAACATAGGGCTTGAACTCTGGGCCTGGATGCTGTCCCTCAGCTCTTCAGATCAAGGTGAGCGCTCTACCACTTTAGCCACAGTGCCACTTCCAGTTTTCTAGTGGTTTACTGGAGATATGAGTCTCATGGACTTTCCTGCCCAGACTAGCTTTGAACCGTAATCCTCAGATCTCAGCCTCCTTAGTAGCTAGGGTTACAGGTGTGAGCCACCGATGCTCGGCTATCCATGAGACTCTTATCTCCAATTAACCACCAAAAGGCCAGAAGTAAAGCTGTGGCTCAAGTGGTAGAGCAATAGCCTTGAGCAGAAGAAACCAAAGGACACTGCCCAGTCTCTGAGTTCAAGCTCCAGATGTTAGTATTTCCTCTTCCATTTGGGGCTTTCCAGTCTCCATCCTAGGCCCTCAGCACATATCTCCACCCCAGCTGCATCATGGAATGCTCTCCACCCAGACCTGAATTCTATTCTGCCCTTCATGAAGAACAGAGAACTCCCCCCCTTCCCCGGCTCCCACAGGAATCCCACCCAGACCTGAACCCCACCCTGCCCACCTGGTGGTGTCAGTGAGCAGCTGCCATGCAGAGTACCTCCTGCCTCCAGCCCCCATGGTAAAAGGGTGATCCTGGGAATCAGGCACATTCCTCCCTCCGATGAGGGAGGTAGCCTTGTCAGCTTTGGCTGGCAACAAACCCCTTTTCCTGGATGTGACGGTGTTCTTGTGGTATTCTGGGATGGGTGCTTTCATTAAGGCTGTTAAGGCTTGGTCTCCACCTCAACATGTGGTTTTGTTTTTAAAAGCTATGTGCTACCTCTGTTCAGGGCTGCAGGTCTTTATGATGAAGTGACCTTCCAATAAAGACTCCCCATTTGACTTCTTAAATTGTGGCATCTACATCTCTTGCTGATTGAATTTCCATACAACATCAGAAAGGCATACATCGCCGTCAGACAAGTGTTCATTCTTGGGTGAGGAATGCACCCCTCAGCAAGGAATGCATCCTGCTGTCTCTGTTTGAAGCAAAGATGGCACTTCTGTGTTTCTAAATACCATATTTCTGAGTTGTCTCCACCAGGCTGTATCTTCCTCAATTTATCCTGCCTCAATACATGCCTATAATCCCAATAATGCTGTGTAAGAGAATTGACTCAAGGCCAGCCTGAGTACACAGTGAAACCCTGTTTCAAAAAAACAAAATAAAGCCAGGCACTGGTGGCTCACGCCTGTCATCCTAGCTACTCAGGAGGCTGAGATCTGAGGATCGAGGTTCAAAGCCAGCCTGGGCAGGAAAGTCCGTGAGATTCTGATCTCCAATTAATTACCAGAAAACTGGAAGTGGTGCTGTGGCTCAAGTGCTTGCCTTGAGCTGAAGAGCTGAGGGACAGTACCCAAGCCCAGAGTTCAAGCCCCGTGACAGAAAGAAAGAGGGCTGGGAAGGTGGCTCAGTGGTAGAGCGCTTGCCTTGCATGCCTAGGCCCTGGGTTTGATTCCTCAGCACCACATAAGCAAAAAGAAAAAAGCTGGAAGTGGTGCTGTGGCTCAAGTGGTAGAGCGCTAGCCTTGAGCTGAAGAGCTGAGGGAAGCGCCCAGGCCCAGAGTTCAGACCCCACGACTGGACCAAAAAAAAAAAGAAAGAAAGAAGAAAGGAAGGAAGGAAGGAAGGTCTGCTTGTACTGAGCTACTTCCTAATAAGGTCTGTTTGTGTGGGGGTCTTGAGTGTCTTTACCTGAAGCATGTGTCTTGTCTTTAAAAGCTTTGTGTAACATGTACAGTGTATAACATGTGAACACTGTTATATGTTATAGACTGTGATAGACAATTTGCTCCAGGAAAGTTAGAATGAACTTGTGACTTTAACTGAGCATC